GTTCGAGCCCACCCAGGGACGGCCTGCTTGATCAGCTGATACATTGTTAATGCATCGGGTTTTTCATCTCAGGGTCGGAATTCCCACCCCACCAATGCTTTTTCTCACTGGCGCATAAATATTTGGCCACCTGCTGCATCAGCTCTACCTTCCAGAGGGCAGAAGAAAACACAAGGACGAACTTGTTCATGATCAGTGAGTAATGCAAAAGGGGGAGGAATCGCACCACGTGTCCTGAGGTTGTTCCTTGCAAGGGAGAAGCGCCGCCGGAGTGAGGTCCTCCTTGCGAGGCAGCCTGGAGCAGCCCTCGGGGAGCTCTCCAGGGTGCTGGAACATCTGCCTTCTGCCAGAGGCAAAGAAAAAGGTGCAAAGGTTTGGCCACCTGCATTTTGCCTCCTGGAATGGGGAAGGGAGGAGGAGAATCCAGCAGCTGAGATTCAAATCTGCCTCAGATCACACGAAGCTAAGAAAACGCCTCCTGGATGCCCGGGCAGCTGCCGAGATCATTTTCCTCCCAGCCTAAAAGATGCCGGTTGGCTCAGAAGCAGAAGCGTTCCGTGTGCTGCGTCTTTGGCCTTCCGACCGAGAGATGTGCAATGCAAATAAGGCATGGCTGATTGTAACCTGTGGCCGGGGCGGAAGAAGCAGAGATCCCGGAGACGTTTCTAGCAAGCAGGCCCCCGTTGCGTGGAAAACAGAACCCCCGTTGGGTTTCCCTTGGGGGGGCATCAAAGCGACGGCCTGCCTGTCTGTGCAGGGGGCGGCCCTGAGGCGTTCACCTGGGGGTTTCAGAGGGACCCCTCCCACTGTGCCCCAGAACGGGTGGGGAAGGCGGTCTGTGCTCCCGCGGCTGCTGCATCCAAGAGGGCCGAGGGGAAGGCCTGTGCCAGGTCTCTGTGGCGCAAGGGGTTAGCGCGTCTGGCTGTTAACCAGGAGGCTGGTGGTTCGAGCCCACCCAGGGACGGCCGTGGGTGCCCCTCCCTTGACGAGGTGGCCGAGTGGTGAAGGTGATGGACTGCTAATCCATTGTGCTCTGCACGCGTGGGTTCGAATCCCACCCTCGTCGGCACCTTTTTCCTTCTGGGTGCATGAGTTGGCACGCAAGGGTGAGCCCTGCTCTGTATATTGGAAGGGCGAAAGGCAGAGCAATGTCACTATTTTTACATTGTTCATGTTCTTTCTGGAGGGAGAGAATTGTTCTGTGTTCTTGTTTTATCAACTTATCCTGCCAGCTGTGTCCATTATCCCAACATTCCTGATTTTTTATGTAAGTCCGTGTACTGCAGAAACTTAATATCAGTCACCCCTGCAGCGTTTGCAGTATTTCATTCCCCAAATGGGTGGGAGCCCGTTTCTTCCTCTCTCCTCCTTTTAACCTCTAACCCTCAATCTTGCGAGGTTCATTAGGTAGAGAATGCCTCCGAAACATGCAGGCTACTTGACGATTGCACGGGAATTTCAAAAGATTCCCTGTTTTGCAAAGAGTCCAAGGGGGCTGACATCATAGCAGTCCTGATTTTGTCCCCTAAAATGCTGTGAAGTAGATTGGTATGAGAGTGGGTGACTGGTCCAAGGTCACCCCATGAATTATAGAATCATATGATTGGAAGGGAGCTCTTCTAGCCAACCCCAATTAATGCTGTGGTTATGTCGGGATTTGAACCTCTCCTACTTAGTCCAGTAGATTTATTCGTGTGTGCAAACACACTCACACTACGTACACACTCATTGGGCTCATCTGATTTCACTGCCAGTCTCAAGTTGTAGCATTGCTTGTACTAATAATGGAGCAAAACGTGATCCTGGACTTGGGGGTCCGAAGAGTGAGGAAGACAATGCCCTAGATTGGGGAATAGGAAAGTGGGGGACAAGAACTGGAATTTATTTAAGAGATGTGTATGGCCAGCAAAATATTAAAATGATTTCTGAATGCCAGTGTCTTCCCATAAAAGCTGAATTCTTCCTAGCCAGCAGGCCATCAGTCAGAGCATTTCTGTACCTGTCTAAGTGGTCCCACGTATTCAGAAATCATTTTAATATTTTGTTCTCCCCAGTTTGTTATGACTTGCCACAGGGTTGCCTCCTCTTTTCAATGTTAAGTGGAATGGTTTGGGTGCAGCGGGCTTAGTAGGGTAAAGGGGCAGTGGGACAGTCCCACCTGCAAGAAGCATTGGGGGGTAAGCACGAGGTGGGGTATTGTCCTCCAATGTCTGTAGAGCCAAGGGGGAGATGGGGTGACCTCCTGCCAGCCTTACCTCCCACTGCTCATCTTGTCTCCCCATTGCCTATTTGCTGTTGTTTAGTTTAGGTAACACCCTAATTGTTTCATCTGTCTTGCAGAATGCAACTGTACTACTTCTGAAACACCAGCGGGGTTTTTCTCTTGCATTCAGGAACTTCATTTCTCACCAAGGAGGTAAATCTCTGTCTGGATTATACCGTTCCAGATGCTGAGGCCAGAATGAAGGCCAAATCTTCTATACACACAAATTCCTCCTCTGTGTTTCTCAAACACACTTTAAGATGTGTGGACTTCAACTCCCAGAATTCCCCAGCCAGCATGCTGGCT